TTTATTCTCGTAGTGTTACAACTTCTAGTAATTTTAGGACTATTCTCGGTGCGACTTTATTCTCATAAATTTACGTCTTTATTCTCGTAATAGAAAAAAGAAATCCCAAGCCTGCCCTTATACTCCATCATAAGTTAGAGCCTCAACTGCTTCAAGGATTTTAACATCAAATTAATAAAAAATGAAACTAACATGTCGTTTTTAACTAGACACACCAAAATATAAATTTTTTTTCTAATTCTATTTATAAATTAAATGGAAATTAATGGGTTATTTTTTGTCTGTAGAGTAAAAACTTGTGGAGTTTTTCAGTTTTCTTTGAGTTTAAGAACTTTTATTTTGCATTTTTAATCGCTGCGGTCCCTTTAAATCTGAGGCTCCGCCCCCAACAAACAAACATGGCGACGTGCGGTTCCACCGTGGCGCTCCTCGCAGGATTTGCTGCATTTCTTGCGGTTGCAGCCTGGTGTTTCTCGGCATCCTCCGGTGTGAGCTGTCCGGGTGTTTGTCTGGCAGCTGCTGCCGGGCTCCTGTCCATGTTTCTGCGGAGGCTGCGGCTCCGGGACGCCGCCTCGGAGCGGCGGGTCTGCGTCCTGGTGCTGGGGGACATCGGACGCAGTCCTCGGATGCAGTATCACGCTTTGTCGCTCAGCAAACACGGATACCAGGTCACCTTTGTGGGGTTTTTAGGTGAGAAAACGGCTCCCTGAAAACAAACCTCCATTATCTGGAGTTATTCTTAGAATAAAGAAGAAAATAAACTAAAAACTCAACAATAGAAGCAATAAAACCTAAAAACCTGACATGTTTCTATAGATGCCCTTAAAGGGGGAAATATTTCTGCTGTTGAACCGATTTTAAACCATCGCGATACTTAAATTTCAAACACGGTGTCGATGCCCAGGAATGTATTTAATAATCGTTACCATGGAGATAAAAAAGTTTAATTAAAGGCATGTAAAATCACTTTACTGACATGAAAACTCACCTTTTTAAGTTTGACATGGAATATTTCTCAGATCGGTCACAGAAAAGTGAGATAATTAATGCTAAATAATAATAATATTCTATTCTATATTATTTATTTCTATAGCTCCAATTCACATCATGTCATCAG